AGGCTGGCTGGGGAATTCTGGGAGTTGAAGTCCACACATCTGAAAGTTGAAGTCCACACATCTGAAAGTTGTCAAGGCTGAGAAATACTGATGTAGACCAATCTACAGTCAAACTAAACATTCACCTTTCTTTCCCTTGTTCTTTACTTTGTAGGTCTTTTCTCACGCATTTCCTCACACCTTACTTATGATTTAGACATTAGTGCTGCTGAAAACAAAAATGCGTAACATGTTATATTTTACCACCCATACTTCTGAAGTTACCAACATAAACAAGCAAAGAGCTACATCGTTTTCCTAATATTTATTCAGCAAAATATACTTAGGTATCATGTTTCTTAGATTTTAATAGCCATGTCACAACCATCTGCTTTTATCCTCTGTACATAGAATTAAACATTTTTGGACAAGCTATGGAATAAAATACATTTGTAAGAAGATGTAAACAGGTCATTTGTTCAAGTCTTTTAAGTCATATAAAATATCAAGTCATTTAAAACATACAGCATATTCATGCATTTAAATAGACTAAGATTAGTATTACCTCATATTTAAACACAATCAAGTAATGACTGTTTATAGTTTGATTATAAAATCTAGACATTCTGTCACAATGATTTGCAAGCATTCCATTTTGCATAAATGTTTCTGCTATGCTAGAACATTTCCCAACATTTTTTAAAATGACCAAGAGAAGAAAGTGATAGATTTATTTTTACATTTTGATAGACAAATTGCATATTTGCATAACTTTCTTTGTTGGACCAGACCAAGTCAATATAATTTAACATTCTCTCTGCTAAAAATGGACTTAATAGCATGTTTGGAAAACCCACACCCAGACATCTTCATGTTTATTCCCCACATCTATTCCCCAAAACGTACTGTTATTAAATATGATTTCTATTTACCTGTCACAGATGTGATTAATTCTGCATAAATTTGCCCAAACTATTTTTGAAACCATCTAAAAAAATGAATGCTGATATACCTTGAGATAGTAAAATCTGTGAGTTAATTATTATTATACTTCCACACCCAGAAACCAAATTTCAATGTTCATTATTTGAAAAAATATTTCAAAAATATGAAAAGAGAAGTTTAAAAAGAATTGATGAATAAAACGGGTTTTAAGCTTGAGAAGAAGGTAAAATATCTGGTGAACCCTATGACAGATATGAACTGTATGTTATTTCAAAATAACTATGTTAAGACATGGAATGAAGTTAAAAAGATACATTAAGATGGGAGAAACTACAACTGTCATTGCTGGAGAGAATTTCTGTGATAAAAATGAATGTCTTGGCTACAATGATGTTTTTATTTCAGATAATACCTGTTTTGACAACTGTTGCACCATTTAAAGAGCAGCAGAATATATATCTAAATTTGTGTGGCAAGGGAGAAAAAACATTGGGTTTACTTGATTTGAAATTGTATTTTGCAGCTTGCTGTTTGGTTCAGTGGGTGTTGCTGAGAAACAGAAGGCTTTTGGAGTTAGAAGAACAGGGCCTGAGATTTGGGTAGCATGGATATTTGTGGTATGATAAAGTCAAGGTTAATGTGGATTTTAAAAATCATTATGTTGGATGGATGGATGGATGGATGGATGGATGGATGGATGGATGGATGGATGGAGAGAGAGAG